AAGAGGTATAGAGGTTGAAACCATCTTCTTGTTTTTGAAGGATGATCTAACTTGTTTACCTAGTTGACAAGCATCGCACATCTTATCATTCTCAAATCTAAGTTCAGGTAATCCTATAACCAGATTCTCTCATAAATTTTGAAATAGTATGCATGCTTATATGTCCAAGTCTCTAATGCCATAACCAGCTACCATTTCCATCATTTGCCATAAGACATGTTTCATAATTAAGTTCAAGGTCTTCAAGAAATATAATGTATATAATTCTTGATTCTTTTTCCTATGAATGAAACTTTATTGGTACTAATGTCTATCACTTCACATTTATATGAATCAAAACATACCTTAAAGCCTTTATCACGTAATTGACTGATACTTAATAAATTATGCTTTAAACCTTTAACAAGAACACATGACTAATTTGAGCTTGAAAATTCTTACCAATAGTTCTTATACCATGAATTCTACCTTTTGAGTCATCTCCAAATGATACAGTAACTCTTTTTTTCTTATTCAGCTGAGCAAATAACATTTCATTTCCTATCATGTGTCTTGAGCAACCACTATCCATGTACTATGATTGTTTTTCATTCAATTGAGCACTTGAATATATGTCTTTTTGGTTAGGCTCAACTTGTAAGATTAATTTTCAATCTTTCTTAACAAGTACCCATACTTTAATGGGTCTTTGAAGGTTAGCTGCTACATAGGATCTTTTTGGAACCCAAATCCTTTTTGTTTTCTATATGCTTCTATTTCTATAACAGTCGTAAGATAGGTGACTAAGTTTATCACAAATATAACACTTAGAAGACACATTAATAGGACTTTTTTTGAAATATGTGTTCCTTTTTTATGTTTCATTTTTTACACTTTTAAGAGCAGTATTGTCATCAATAGCTTTTTACAAAGCTTTAGTCCTATTTTTCAATTCCAATTTTAGAATTTCATAATCTATTTTTGAGAGTTCAAGTTCAGTTTGAAGTAAATTTCTTTGTTCAAAAACAAAGCAGAAATCATGTTTTATCTTTTCTGAATCATTCTCAAGAGATGAAATCTTTCTTTTCAAAGCCTTGCATTTTGATGCAAGTTTTTCAAACTCAACATAAAGACATTCATATTTGTCTTGAAGTTCATCCATAGAAATATCATAAGAAGCAGAACATACCTCAGATTCATCATCTCTTGACATCAGATATAAATTTGTTCTTTCTTCCATTTTCTCTTCTTCAGCGTCTAAGCTTGAAACATCACTGTCTAACCAAGTTGCAGCCACCAATGCCTTCTTCTATTTTTTATTTTTCTTGAGAGTTTCTTCCTTCAGCAAGGGGCATTCTAACCTAAAGTGTCTAGGCTTCTTTCATTTAAAGCATATAACCTCTTCTTTCTTGTTGAATTCATTTTTATTTCTGGTTCTCCATAAAGAACCTTGATATTTTTTATACTCTTTCTTAACCAATCTCCTGTCTCTTTGTCCCATAATTTTTCTAAATCTTTTTACTACCATAGCCAGTTCTTCATCATCATCATAGGATAAGTTGTCCAATTCTTCTTAAAGAATGCTAACTATTAAAGCAATGCTTTTATTCTTTTCTAATGTTTCTCTCTTGTCTTTTTCTTCCTCTTCTTTAAGCTTCAACTCATGAATGAGAAGAGACCCACAAATTTCATCAAGTGTGATGACATTTAAGTCTTTGACTTCACGAATAGTAGTCACTTTTGATTTCTAATTTTTTTGTAGGCTTTTAAGAAGTCTTTCGACAATTTTATGTTCAAGTATAGATTTGCCTTGTTGACTGAGTTTATTGGTGATGCTAGTGAACCTATCAATCATGCTGGTGATATCTTCAACCGGTTCCATCTTAAACACCTCATAGTTGTGAGTTGAGTTATTTTGAACTCCTTAACTTAAGAAGTCCCTTCATGGATAATCTTAAGTTTGTCTCATACTTGTTTAGCTGTGGTACAGCTTGACACTTCGTTAAACTCAATGGGAGTTAGTGCACAATGTAAAGTATTTATTGCCTTAAAGTTTGTCTGAACTTTTTTAGTTTTAGCTTTAGTACATTCATTCCTTGACTTAGGAATCTTTTTGTTGGTCACTACATTTATGGTCGAGGGGATAAAAGATCCATCGGTGATGACATCCCACATTTCATAGTCTATTGACTTTATGTAGATAGACATTCTAGTGCTCCAATAAGGGTGTTCGATCCATCAAACAGGGATGGTCTATTTGTAGATTGTCAATGAAGAGAAATTAAATGCAAGATGAAGAAATAATCTAACAAAGAATGAAATGAAAAATAAAATAGAGAAGACAATACTAAGGTCATTTCTCACAATTTCCTCTTTCCAAAATCATGTCTTACCAAACATAAAGCGAAAGTGAGACAATTGTATAGTATGCGTGAAAGGTAAAGTAAGATGTAATGAGAACAATAAATAATCATGGCTGCCAAAATAAATTCCAAAATGATGTAGATTCAAGGTGCAATAACCAAAGAGGTTTGGAAATTACCAATTGCATGAGATAAAGATATCAAAATTGCACTGGTTGAAGGGAATGGACCAAATCTAATATCAGGAAATGAGGTTGGAGTAGTAAACTGAATTCTGCATCTGATCCTTTGATCAATCTGCTAGAGAACAGGTTTGTTTGACAATTAAAAGGCAAATATATAAATCTAGAATAGTCTTTAGTAAGTATTCATCGTATAACTTAATAACAGAAAGTCACCACACCTCAACGCCATTCATATCATGTCAGCTAGAATTCCCAATGCCTCTCCATTTTGAAGAACAACCAGCACCCAAGGATGTGATTGGTACAAGGATGTAGTTCCGGGACCATAACCCATGCATCTGTGTTCCATGTAAGAAGTTTTACTTATCACCAGCAAAAAAATGGGAAGAAAATATGTTTTATGGTGACCATGTTCTACAAAATCACTCACGCTTTTGCCTGTTCGCTCTAGCTGCCCACTAGCTTCTCCAATTCCATCAAATGAGGTACTAACAGGAAGCTTAACAAGAAGCAAAGTAAATAAGATGAGTTAACGAATAAAAAAGTGCACAAGAGACTTCAAATTCTACCAGAAAAGTGCACCGGCTAAGTAAAAACATAATATGCAGAACAAAAAAGGATCAATGATTTGCAGAGGCCACCAACACAAAAAGGCATTGCAATAACAGACCTCAAGTTCGACAATCTACTGTACCAAACGGCACTCAAAAGAAGGGATATACAAAGGAACCTTGTTACTCATGATTGGTACAACCCTGTCGTTGCTATTTATAAATGAAAGACATGGATACGCTGCATCTCTATCATTTGCAGAGCAATCAAACCGGAAAACTTCATCCTCCAAGATGGGTTCAAAAATCACTTTCCCTGCAGTGGAGTCTGATACTGCTGCCTGCACTTCAGAATTATCCATTTTAGACATTAGCTGTCTCTCGCTAAGCTGCTTATTGTAACTCTTCTTTCTGCGTGGCAGCCTCTGTATTAGAAGTAGAAAAAATATTACATGACATTCCCTAGAGAAGCTAAGGAAGTTTAATGCTAGATGCATGACATAATGGCAGACAGGGAAATTCACATTAACATGCACATATAATTGCAGAATATCACCGTATCCAGATCTTGGCACTCATCAAAAAGCCAGAAAACATCCTACGATGCACCAAAATTTCTACAAAACTCAAAAAAATTCTAAAACACTGCAGATATGAGGGTTTTAGCAGAGGTTAGTGACACGCAATTGAGCTAGATCTAGAGGTTGAACCTAATGGGTTACGAGAAGGCTGAAGGAAACAGGAAATACTAGAACCTACTGGGTTAAGAGAAGGCTGCAGGAAACAGGAAATATTGTTGCTAACATATAATTTGAAAAGCAGAATCTAGAACCCCACTATGTTGCTGTTGGGATTAATAGCAATATTCTTTTAGCATTCAAAAGAAAAAAAAAAAAAACTAGAGACAGCAAATCTGAAATTTTCTCTTTAGAGTTTTAATATAAAATGAATTTTTATTCAGAGAGAAAGACACAGAAGGAAGAAATATAAAAGGTTTTTTTTTTTTTTTGGTACTGCCTGCCTAAATATCCTCTCACCTGTAACTTACAAGGTAATAGGATTAATTTCTCCAACTGATAAAGAGTTCACGAGACACAGGAGGAATGGGTTAAAACATGAAACTTAAGACTGAAGCCACCTGATTATGCTTCTGCTTAAATTAATTATCTGTGAGGAATCACTTTCTCAAGCATTAAGTCGTATGCATTACCTTGTTGTGTGTGAATAAGAGTTCCTTTCATCATCGTCTTCCTCATTGATGCTGAATTGTCTTGCATCTCACTTGGGAATCCACATTTCAATCTCTTGTCAAATAAAAATGAAACAGCAAATGCGAATTTGATCAATTTCCACGAGCAAATTGAAGACAAGCATGGAAAAAGAAAAACAGTTGAAGAAGAAAAAAGAAATTAGACATCGAGAAACCTGAAGAGAATATCTGTTCTTTATGGTGCTGGAGAATAACACAATTCCAGGCCTCCTCCGCCCCTGAGACTGCTGCTTAGGTCTACTGATATATCATTTACTACTACAACTCTCCAATAACATATTAGTTTTTGGTTTGGCTTTTGGAATTCGAAGCGTACTGTCAAAGGCCTAAGGGGCAGTCAGGGGTTGCGGAATCTCCTCGTAATAGGGGAGGCACTTTAATTTGACGTTTTGGCTGAGGCACCAGGTCAATATTGATCCACGAGTCATTATTTTTACTTCCAAGATGACCATTTACATATCAAAATAAAAACATTTTATTTATTTTCTCTGAATCACTTGCATAGCATACTCCTTAACTTCTTTTAAAATCGTTAGAAACTCCTTATTTTTTGTATAATTAACTCGTTAAATTCTTATTTTTGCCTAATAGGGACCTCGATGATCAAAATTCTGACCACTTCACTATCAGTCTCCTTGTATCTAATTTTCAGTTGGGACAACAAAAAACGCCAATACTTGAAATCGTATACAACAGAAATTAAGATTTCAGTTGCACTGACGCTAATATCATTCAGAGCCATATAGCAGAGAACTTCCATGATCAACAATCCCTGAAACCATGGTGACAAAGTGGGTTTAGAGGGCTTCTCGGTAGGGCATAGGGGATTAAGGCTTCAATTATTTACGATTGAATACACTTGGGCAGGCCATGGGCGTTGCTTCTTAGAAATTGAGTCCTGAAAAAGAATCAGTTCAGTGCACCTGCAGGACAGATGGTCACACGGTACCTACTTCTGCATGCCATGCCTATGCTATATGCCGCTCCATAGAGCATTCTGCTGATGGTCTTACCTCGGAATGGGTGAAACTGTATAAGAGCGCCCCCCCAAGACTGAAATATCATAGTCTTCAAATCTGCCTTCGTCATCTGCAAAGCAAACATGCTGCGCTCACTGGAGCTCCATTGTTTCTGGATTTGAGAACTAAGATTTGACTCATCCGTTTCGGCTCCATCCTCTTCTGCTGCCCGCTCCTTCATGGCTTCCTTCTCCAATTTCTTTTTCTCAGCATCAGCCAGCCTTTCATTCTCCTCTCTCGATTTATTGAACATCTTAACAAAACCGACCAAGATCTGAGTCACTGCAGCAACAAACAACAAAGTTAAGAAATCAGAGTTTTTTTTATGGAAATGATTACAAAAGTTACATAACAGGTTTTTGAAATTAAAACAAATGTCAAAAGAACATGGAAAACCTTGTTCAAAAGGACATCTTGCTGGATCCTCCCAAAGTACTAGGCTAATGAATCTGCATTTCTTCCTTGTAACTGTTAGAATTTTGAGAGGCTTAAGAGATTGTTGAGTGCTTAACAAAATGAGGAAGATAATCACACACTCTCATTAACAAGAATAACGGCTTTTATAGCCTCACAAAAAATAATACTGAAAAACAAATGGACAAAATTAAAGAAAATAGATAGCACTACTTGAGATTGCCACCCTATTAAGTTTGTGGGCTATCCCTTACATTTGCACTAACTGCCAAAACATGGCCAACATGAAAAACTAAATAACCACAAGTAAAAACATGTAAATAGCACATAGCACTGCTTCTCCAAGTTGAAAACTAACTTTTCACATTAAGTACTGCAGACTGGGCCTAACTCCAAAACACCTCTTTAGGGTCAGCTTTCAATACTTCCAGTTTAGATCTTATTAATTTAAATCTATCTTTTAGAGTTATTATCAAAAAATTAGATATTATCGACGAAATTTTCCATTAATAATAGTTATAATTTCATCAGTACGTTACATTATCAATAGAAATATCAAATGGAATTTTCGTAAGTACTCGATCGTAGATACTATTGCTAGTAAAAGCAAATCCATCAGTAAAGAAAAATTCTATTGGTAATTTACCAACCAAATTTTCATCGATAATTCCGTTGGCAAAGGGTCTGTTCAGTTGGTCAATTTTTTAGTTGGTCATTGGAGAATTCTATCACTAATTTTCGTTGGTATTTTTCAACGAAAAAGTCCTTTAATAATTCCATCGGTTAATTATTTCTTTTTTCAAATTAAAACTTAAATTAGCAATCCAAGCTATAGCTTAAATATTCGAGAAGTGGCCTACAAAAGCTAAAGCTGTGACTTCCTATAGTGGCTAGAGATATGATCATGGCAGCCTCAACTTTATATCAAAAAAACCTCATTTCTTTAAGTTATAATTTGAAATGATAATGTTTCATATTTAAACTTTTAAGCTATGGTATTTTTTCAATTTATCTCATAAACTTTGGATATCATTTTATCTAAAGACATAACCATTCACATGAAAAATCTACCTACAATCCAATAGTCATAGTATGTCACTTTATCTGACATAATCTAAGATAGCTTTACATTATGTGACATAAATATACTATTATATAATATTAATTATTTAATTAATTACTTAATTACTAATTATAACATATTACATTAAACCTTAAATAAATTATTAAAATAACACACTAAACACCTTAATTTATTTAAATATTTTTAAAATTAAATAATATTACTAATTTAGTTAATTGCTCAAGTAGAACTAACATTCTTTCATTTCATTAATTTAATTATTTCTTTTATTTAATAAACAATAGTTAATTTAAACAATTTTAAATCTTACTAAATTTACTAATTTAATTAATTGATTAATTAGTAATTCAAGATTCGTCATAATTAGTTAATTAACTCATTAACACCTTAATTTATTTAAATATTTTAAATTAAATAATATTACTATTTTAGTTAATTGCTTAAGTACTCAAACATTTTTTCATTTCATTAGTTTAATTATTTATTTATAATATTACAAATTTAAGTAATTGTTTAATTACTTATAACACATTACATTACTTAATTAAATAAATTATTTAATTAACTCATTATTGAACATCTTAATTTATTTAAATATTTTTAAAATGAAATAACATTATTAATTCAGTTAATTGCTTAATTACTCAACATTTATTAAATTTATAAATCCTTAATTATTTTAAATACACCTTAAATTTTACTAAATTAACTAATTTTATTAATTGCTTAATTATTAATTCATCATTATTCATAATTGATTAAATTACGTAATTAATACCCTAAACCTTTATTAATTTAATTGAATAAAATATTATCTAATATTACTTGTTTAATTTATTTCTTAATGACTAATTTAACTAATTCCTTAATTAGTAAAACATTTTTTTCATTTGATTAGTTAAATTCTTTCATAAATTTAATAAAACCTTAATTAAATAATAATAAATTTAAGGCATTTACTAATTTTCTAAATTGCTTAATTAATAATTTTCTTTATTACTAAATTTATAGTTAATAAAACCTTACTAATTTTCTTAATCACTAAGAATTTAAAAGATTTCATGCCTAAAAATCCATTAATATTTACTTATGCCCGCGAATCAACATATTGAATAGCTAAAATACATACATCAATAAACCAATGCATTATTCCCAATTAAAATGCCAGTTACAATGAATCACACATACAACTAGAATCAATACAAAATACTAGCAATCAATCAATCCAACCATGAATCAACACATTATTCCCAAAATATAAACAACAGCCATGAATCAACACTTTAGGCAACCAAAATAGCAGCAACAATCTGAAAATACATATAAACCTAAACCCTAAATATCAATAAAATCCACCAACAAGATTATTCCCGAATATAATAACAAAATCTAAATCCAAATGTACAGTAAATTAGAAGCAAGAAAACCTTACCTTCAGGCCAATACAGACGCACCACCAATCGAAGCAAAATCGAGAGAATCAAATGGAAGGGGGTGATTGGAGAAGCAGAAGAGGCATGAGGAAAGGGACTTGAAAGTGAGATGGTTGGGTAGTGATTGATGAGGGATGTTGGTTGTCTGTAGAGGGTGCGCTCAAGGGAGGGGAAAGGTAGGGCAACAAGAAAGTGAAGGGAGAGTAAAAAGGAGAGAAGAGAAAAGTGAGGAAAAAGTAAAGGGAGAAATTAGGGGAAAAATTTTGCATGGGGATTTTTATTTTACTTACCGATGTAACTAAAATAGGGAAAAATGGAGGGAAAACTCCCACCTATAAATTTTAACTATTAATTACCAACGGAATATTTCATCGGTAAATAAAAAATTAATGTCAGACAAAATTTTTTCAGCAAATCTATTAGTAATGTTATCAATGTCTCACCAAATTACCGACCACTTAGTTCGTCAATAACATGGTTGGTAAATTCTATTTGTAAAATATTGCAAAAAAAATTATTTCGTCAGTAAATTTTGAGCCATTTTGCTATTCATGCCCGCCATTATAGTACCAACGGATTGAGTTCCATCGATAATCCATTTGTTTTTCTCATATCCTTCTCTCATCGGTAATCCATCAGTAATTATCGATGGATTATTACTAATAAAATTGATTCTGTCAATAAAGCCTTTTCTTTTTAGTAGTCAGTTATATGTTCCTAAATCACTCCAATGGTTATTTTTGTAAGTCTCCCATGGATAAATAATTCCATCATTGTCTTGGTCAAAATAGGTAACATGTTGTTGAAGACACTCATATCTTCCAATGCTCCACAGCTTATTGACCTCTTAGGTATCTTGGCCATGAATAACACCTTCTCCAAGTTGTCTTTCACACTTTCCTCATCCTTCATCTTCAATACTTCAAACTCCTTATGTAGATTTAGGACTTGTATTTGATGGATCTTATCACTGCCATGAAACTCAACCTTCAACCTATCCCATGCTTCTTTGGCAGATTCACAATCCATTATATAAGTAAAAATTGAGTCAAAAATAGCAAAATGAATACAGGATAAAGCATTATACCTTTTCGCAATTTCTTTCGCTTAGTTACTTTAACTGTGCAATTGTTAGGTTTGATTGCCTCATCTCAAGAGGATTTCCACCAATTTGCTTTAATTGTGCAATTGTTGGGTTTGATTACCTCATCTTAAGAGGATTTCCACCAACTTCAATGATCTCCCAAAGATCAAACATACAAAGATACACCTTTATTTTTACTGCCTATATTGGTTTTCACCAGTAAAAATGGGTGAAGTAGTAGCATGGAAATTTGCAAAAGCCATTTTCTTGTTATTCCAAAGATAGATAGTAAAGGGTAAGGAAAAAAACTAATAGGGATTTTTTAAAGTGATTTTACACCAACACAGTCCCTTAAGATAACCACTTTGATACCATGTTAGAATTTTGAAAGACTTAAGAGATTGTTAAGTGCTAAACAAAAGGAGAAAGATAATCACACACTTTCATTAACAAGGATAACGACTTTTATAGCCTTACAAATGATAATGTTAAAAAAAATGGATAAAATTAAAGAAAATAAATAACACTACTTGGGATTGCCACACCACTAAGTTTGTGGGCTGTTTCTTACATTTGCATTAACTACCAAAGCATGGCCAACATGAAAAACTAAATAACCACCAAGTAAAACATGTAATTAGCACACAGCACTGCTTCTCCAAATTGAAAACTACCTTTTACATTAAGGAGTGTTTCAAACAGTGCCTAACTCCAACTATGAATATAAGGATCTATGAATAGCAAAACTTGGGACAATACTCACCTTTTTAGAATATATAAGGGGATAAGTGACCTTATTTCAGCTTCAGCTATGTCAAGGAAATTCTTCAACACCTACAACCAAGGAAACTTAGATTTAAAACTAATGCTTATGATCTCAAAGAAAATCTCAAATTCCTTCCATTTAGACAACAAAAAATGAACAAAAAACCAAACTCATACAAATAATTGGGTCAATATAGACCACTACAACAATGTTTTCATCGGTCTCATTTGTTTGTAAGCATCTCAATTGTATTTATCATATGATTGATGGTCTTCTAAAATATTAAACCTCAGCATAGTAACCACAATGAATGATGCAACTAAATAGAAGCAATCTACACACACATGTCCGAAGAAGATATAAAGTTTTTAATTGTATAGCAGAAGATTTGTTTGATTCTTCATGATTTGTCATCCATTCTGTCCTTGGATTGATTAGTCTTGCTCTAGGATTGATTGTTGCTTTGTTTTTTCAAGATTTCTTGTCATTTTGGTACTTAACTCTAGCCATATCTTCCTTGTTTCTTCCTTGTGATCAAATATCAAGGTAAGGCATGTTTGCTCTATATTTTCTCAAGTTGAAAACTTATGTTTGAAAGCTTTGTGATGTTTTCTAACTATAAATGGCTTTTGAAACATTTGTATGGCCTTAGGAGGATGAAAAACATGATTTTGACAATTTGAAATGCTTATCATTAAAACTAACATATTATGCAATTTTGTTAAATCAAAACATAAGATATTTCAATGCTAACAGTTTTGTTTGCTATTATTGTTGTGTTTTCTTATTGATTTTGTACCCTTTTTTCATGTGAAGGAAATTTGAATCAAACAGGTGATTAACCAAGTGAGATTGAAATTCATTAGATTGGGTTTTGGCTGTTAATTATTTTGATTGTGTTTTCTTTTTCATGGATTGGGTTTAGAAAGAAAAGTTTTTAACTATATCTTTTAATGCTTAAGATTTCTGGTGATAGTCAAAGACAGCCAAACCTTTTTAATTATGATCTTTCCATTGATTGTCTGCCTTATCAACGATTTCCTATGATAAGAAAAGACAACCAAACCTTTGGATTATATAATTTAATGCAACACAAGACTGCCCAAAAGGAACTCCAAGTGAAGATAATTAACATCTTTCCCTATAATCTTTATCTCACTCCTTTTAATTACAAGTTCCTAGTAGTTACCAACTTACGATCCCAAAAACAAGGACTATAACAATCTATGGTAATGTTTTTGATGATCAAACTTTTCTGTTTTCATTGTTTTTATCTAGCATCAAGTTTTAATTTTTCTATCTACGTAACAATTGCTTTTTTCCTGTTTCTTTGCTTTCTACTAGTTTTGCTTTCCTTATTTGATTGTACTTTTCAATTTGTTTTTGTTTCTTCTTTGTTGTTCATTGATAATTGTTTAGCTATTTTATGAGTTTTTATTTAAAATTTTAATAAGCTTTTATATGATTAATTCTATCCCCTTCTATAATGTTCATCTATGCTTAATTTCCACAATTTGTTAAGTTCATTAATGGTTTCTACTGTCATTGATTGTCCATTAGTTGCTTAATAAAATCATTTTCATCGTTAAGGGAAGAATTGGCCGACAAACAAAGGTACACGAAAAATCAATCTCATACTCACAAGAAGTTTTTAAATCAGAAGGTCTATGACCAACCATAACTCATGTTAATTCATTACATTTCGTAGATCACAGGTGAACCTCTTCTTCCTTTAGTAACAAAAACAATCTCTTCCAGCAAAAATTTAGACCCCTCCTTGATAGCACAACTGTTATTGAAACAATACAATTGGAAAAAAAGGCACTACCTAATTACATGAATTTTATGACTGTTAATGTAATGCTGGTGATATTATTAATATAAAATTTGTTTCATACATAATAAATTCTCACTAAAAATTAATTTTGTCATTTGTTTAAATGTATTTTTAATTCTCATCAGTTTGTTTAGCCTTTCATGTATTATCCATAATCACAATAAACTTTTATACTTATCGGTGTTCTATTAGCTGAAAGACTACATTTGTTGATTGAATCTTATTAATTACCCAGTTACGTAATATTGCATCAAAACAAGCTGGCAGCAAAGAATAGGTAATTTTTACAAATTGGATACTCATTGCTGTTCCTTTCTCTCATTTCGATTCTCTTCTTCATGCATAATTTTAATTGGTCAAAACAACATCATATCAGGGGAAAGCTCATGAAAGCATCTCAAGCATAAGTTCCTTGGCCGACATCATTGCTCCATTAATCTTTAATCCTCGGACAAGTGTGTAAAGACTGGTATTTTCCCTTCTCCTAGAAGTTTACCTTTTATTGACGAATCTTAGTGACCACTTCTCCTTCTATTCATCACAATCACGTTAGTATGAACTTTTACATAGTAAACTACTATATATTGTCAATAAACTTCTCATGTTTCAACATTGAACATATAGATTAATATCAATGTTGTTTGATCAGCATTAGCATCTACAATAGTAAGTCACGTTGCTAAAAACCCTTTTCTGGTTTGATCTAGTCTTCTATCTGTCCCAAAACGAATTTTCATTTGACATTCGTTGAAAATCACAAGAGCAGAATGATCCTGCTAACAGCTTAATGCCTCCATCTAATCATTGTTTTTATCTATCACTTTCAATATCATTTCTTATGTAACTAAAACGAGTTATGTTTTTTTAATAGATGATTGCCTTCATTCAAAGTTTGATGATATAGAGTGCTCCTTCAACTTCAAGTAACAAAAACAAGAGCAATGGCATGGAGGTTTAGTTGTAATGATATATATTAATTAGTAGATGATGAAAGTCTCTACCCTTAGAGATTGTTTCAATTAAATACCCAGACAATGTATTGGCAAGACATATTGACTGTCGAACATTTTCAACTATGCCAAAATCCAACCAATTGAAAAAAAAAGGTTGTATTTTATGAGCTTTCATTTTATGTTTGTGACTATAATAGTTTTTGTTTCTAATTTTCCTTGAAAAACTATCAAGAGCAAGTTCCATGTAAATGAATATACATAGCTATAGTACCCGAGGGCAGTGCAGTGGTCTTTTTCTAATATCTACAAGAGCAAGAGTTGCTACTTAGTTGGCCATCATAATTAATTACCAACAATTTTTCAGAAAAACAAAATAACCCTATAAAATGAAGAAGCGTGAATCCCTTTGAAGACAAGACACTTGAATCGCCCTTGACGTATCTAATCTTAATCTAAATACCTAAATCTTGATTTAAAATTTAACCTTTTTTGGAGTTGAATTCTTGAATTGCCTTTAAGGTATCTTGATCTAAAATTTTCTTGTGATAGATTTTGACTTTTATATTATATAACAATTGTTGTTATTGAATTATAAATAAAACTCTGCATTTATTGTAGACAAAAAAACTAACAGCCTTACCAATGATTACTGGCTGCCTCAAGTTGCCAGCCAATGCAAATATGACCCTTACATATAACATGTTATTACCTCCCCCAGCAATCTTGATGCTAAATAAATCTGGTTAGGTCACTCCCTTTGCAACTATTTCATTGTTGTGTGACCGTAAGGGACATTTTTTTAGAAGGTAAGCATGTCACTGAATGAATTAAACCATTGATGGAATTTAGATGTGAATTGAGTGGGATTGCAAATGAAATGTTTCATCCTTCCTAGATTATATTGGACCTTACACAACATACAAATTTCAATCTTATTATGGAGATAGGCTACCAAGGATCTTGGACATTTCATGGCTGTAAAAACTCTGGAGAGCATTGGGGATTGCGAAGTTAGACCGAACAGAGGGGATGTGTTTTTCCCTATTGTCTTCATTGGAATTACCTTCAAGATGTTCAGGGGGAGAGAGTTGGGTAGGGGTTGTACACAAAGTACTAAAACATGGAGTTTTCTTGAAATGTGAACCGGTCCAAAACATCTGTCTCACCTAAAAATGACTCACTATCATTATGTGCCTGGGGAGAATACTATCTTCATGAATGACAAGCAGTCGAGGTTTGAGAAGGATCTTGCCATGCGATTCATTGATTGGAACCAAGTGGTTGTAGCAGAGAGAATTTAGGGCATTGGAGAGTTTAGAAGGTGATTATTTAGGACCAGTTTCTTGAATCGGCAAATTATTCTGTTTAAGAGCATACTCCATTTTTCTTACTATCTATTCCTGGGGATGCCATTAAGCAGCAGGTTTTGTACTGATCTCAGGCGGCTAATTGATCCAACTCCCATTGTTTGACATTGAGGCAGACCACTCAAAATGGTAGATCCGATAACTAACACAAACTTCAGTGCTTCTATTATTTGTTAGAAGTAGGCTTTTGAATTGAGAGGATCATGGAAAATATAAATTGCCATAGGAGAGTTCCAAACGGAAAAGGTTCCTAGAACGTTTTTGTGAACATCCAAATACTTAGCTCTTTACTGAGCCACTCTGCCTTTTGCTAGGGGATCCCATTGACAGATAAGGGCAAGAGAAACTTGATACAGGATTGCGATGCAAGCATGCAAATGCCAGCTTTGTTAATTGTAGTGGTGACCACATCCTCAGCTACTTGGGCCCGTTGGAGATGAGAGGCGTTGGAATCCTATTGAAACAGGTCGAAGTGTCACGGCCTTACTTCCTGGCAGCCGCAGCGCTCCACACTTGGATTTTTTTTTCAGTGTTTGCCAACTGGCATTGTGGCCTTCCTCCATGAGAGCCATGGCACCAAGCTCTCAAGAATGTGTATGGGAGCAATGTTGCTTCCCTTGGGCACTGCGGCCTTGAGCCTTGCCAAGCCACGACATTGCTCTTTGTCCTACCTTGGTGTAGACTGCTGCAGCTTCTCATCTTGCAACGCGATTTTCTCCTAACTAGAGGCTGATCTAGGTGAAATGCTAAACATGAAAGTTGTAGGTCTACCTCTTATCTTTCCTATGTCCAAGAATCACATTTATTGAATCTTTGAAGTTTGAGTAATGTCCGAATTACCACAACATATTTAGTAAAAATCTACACTTAGTCTCCATTGCATAATTCATCACCATTTAACTTTGAGTATTTGAAAACCTACAAACACAAGGACTAAATCAGCATTAGTTTAAAATACGACTATCAACATGAAAATAAACTAGAATTACTTGAATTAAACTAAGTTAACATGCTTTAAACTGATCAACTAAAAACATAAAAAATGTTTAAAGGCTACTTAAAACACAAGGATTTGGCTACATTAACATCTCAAAATGTTGCTAAATAACTCTAAATAATACAGTTATCAGCAGTTGGATTTTCTCTAATTTTAAAAGGATTTTTTTTGTCTTTTCCCTCTAATATCCAAAACCTTGTTTCTCCGCCTTTGTATTTTCTTTTTTTAAGGAATATTTTGGGCTTTTCGCATCTCTCTTCTTTTTGTTTTCTATTTTTAGGAATATTTTAGATATTCATCTGAGCATTTGACTCATTGGTTGGTACATGGTCTCATGTTTAAATAATAAGGTTTGAATCCCCCTTCCCCCAATTAAAAATAAATTAAAAAAGCTTAAGATTATAATATCTCTCATACTTCATCTAAATTTTATTTCTCTCTTTCTCAACTTATTTCAACTTATTTCAATGGGTTGACCTAGAGACCTCAATTATTTATAATGCTCTCTCGAGTCTTTTATAAAAATATCTACTTTAACAAAAATACTATATTTCTATGTGAATTGAAATTAAAATAGAATCATTAAGTTCAGGCTCTAACACTTGCTACATATAGCACATGGGTACATTCCTATCCTATACGCAAATTAATTTATCCATCTAAGCAAATAAATATGATCATATGCTATTCTAATTTTAGTCTACAATAAACTCCCTCTCTCAAGTTTATTTAAGTTTATAGATCAATTCCATTAGTGATTAGGCAATTAAAAGTATTAAGAACAAATTGGAACAAGCAATTCTATCTCATTGAAAATAACTTAGAAAGAGATTAAAAATTTTAACTACATGTGACTTCAATTACAATCCTAGAGAAATAAATTTAGCTACTCGTAATTGCAAAAGTAAATAAAAACATATAAAGTTTAGCCATCAAAAATAACAAAAATCATAAAAGCTAAGGAAGAAAATAAACATTGCAGCCTTAGTCTTCAATCTTCAACCTCAACTTCTAGCTTCTTAAATCTCTCTCAAAATTTCTCCTTAATGTGTGTATGTGTCTAACTTCACCTTATGCTAACTATTTATAACCTAACTTAACCTAATTATATCTAAACAAAACTATTTTAGCTTAAAAACTCTTAGTATGGGATTAGAATATGTATAGCGGCCATGTGAAATCCCACATTGAGTAAGAGGATAAGTTAAGAAATCCTTAGGTGAGCATATAAATTATATATTAAACATCAAACTTAGTTCGAACTTTCAAAAGGATTCAATCACAATTTTGGTTGTCTGTCACTTTTGAAGTAAAAAGTTTTTTACGTTTGGAAAAAGTTAAAATATGTGATTTTTATAGAATAATCTTTGAAAAATAAAAAATGGCGATAATGGTTCTCTTGATTTTTAGATGACCAAAACTGATTTTTTCATAATTTTTGGAGTATGTTTGCTACGGTAAATGGAAGCCGCAAATTTCATTTTAGTCGAACTTTTTTGATTTTATTCTTGAAACCAAAATTTAGATTTTTATTCTTTTGAATTTTGATTTTTTTATACTTTATTGAATCCAAATGGAGGGTTGTTTGTTTATTTATATTAAATATCTTAAGTAAATGGAGAGTAAAAAGGAAAAAAGGAAAAATGAGGACATTTACTTAAATGTTATTTAATATAAATAAGTTGAGTAGGTTTTATAGGTAATTTATCTCAGAAGCTACATTCTATTTCAAATATATTAATACATATGATCATGTATCGATACATATTCATAATGTATTAATACAAGTTTTCTAAAACCCAATATATTAATGTATATGGCCCAAATGTATTGCATTTCATCGACTTTAAAAAATAAAAGGGACAGAATTCTATTTTTACACTCAAAACTATAAATACCTCACATTTTTTGAGAGTTTTCAACCCTCAATCATTTTTTAAAGGTATTTCTCTAAACTCAAATCCTATCAACTCATTTTTAACTCAAATCTTCATTTTTTATGATTAAATGATGTGGTCTTGAGTTGTTATGAATAAGGTGATATTTTTAAGCTTTAGAAACTTTAAATCTTGATTTCAAGTTTTTGAAAATATGATTTTATTGTCAATATTTTTTGTTGGTGATTAAAACTTAAAGGTTTTGTGATTTTCTTAAGCAACTAAGCTCACCTAAAGTAATGATGAAAGATTTATAGGTTTCTAAGCATGGGTTTTAGCTAAAAAATTAGTTTAGCTAAAAGCAAGTGGTTTCAAAAATACTTTGAATGATTATTATAAGATTTTTATTCTAAGAAATTATTGTAATGATTGTTGTATGATAGGAACACTTGAAAACTTCACGAATATCATTGAAACGGAATTGTGATTGGAGCTAAGAATCAACTCTCCAATTAAATGAGTGGATACACTTTTCAAGTATTTTAATATATAAAGTTAATATGATTTTTATGGAAATGGTTAATTAAGCATGTCGAAAACTTATTTCCATAAATAGTTTATGAAAAGATTTGAACTACAAGGTTTTATGAAGTTTTCAAGGAAATGTTCAAATGACTTGATTTGATAATGATTATGATATGTGTGACACAATGATTTTCAAATTGTTTACAAATCTACTATATATAGAAATATGTTACTATGTATTAGTTTTCAATAAAGAGAGACAAGCTCTTTTATGTTTGTAGTACACTCGATTACTTTAACCTTTGGGCTAGTGTGGATACTAGATATTTCTATGGTTAATGTATGAATGTTATTATATACATGTTAGATACGATGTACCATGATAAGAATATCGGATGCATAAGCTCCATTTATTCGATTGTAACATGCATGCTATGAGACGTATGTATTGGGATTGTCATATACACTATGGGTTAAGCATGTGAGTGATTTATGAGGTTATAAATGCATACCATGAGATGTATGTGTTGAGATAGTCATTCACGTTATGGACGAAGCACTTTTAATTCCATATATAAACAAGAAGTTCCTACTACCTTAGATGTACACATTTATAGAAAAATTTGTTTAGAAAGCATGTGACAAAAATTTCACCATTAAAGATCAATATTATTTATTATAAAATATCATAACATACCAAACAACAATAGAGGCATATAATAAAGGTCAAAAGTCTTGATACATTGAAAACAAGGCAACAAGTTTAGAGTTACCTATACTTCAATGCCAATCTCAATTGCTTAAAAGCCTCTAAGGAATTACTTCTGGATTTGCTCTGAACTGATTCTTGTTCCTTCTCATTTGGAGTACCGATTAGAGTTGTCCACAATCTTCCATACTCCAAAATCTAGGATTGCTGTTGGATACCCCAATTATTATAAATGAAAATCATATAAAACTTCGCAAAGAAAGAGGGAGACATGCCTATGTAGAGCTACAATTGAAAGGATTCCCCTTTGTGGGAAAAAGGGAAAGAAAGAAGAGTGAAAAGGAAAGTTAAAAAAAAAATCAATTATGAAAGGAAAACACAAATTAGATTAAATGTATTGGTAAAAAGTTTTATAAACAAATAAATTAAACCCAATTACAGAAAAAGTTCAATAATGAACATTAAAGGGGGTAGAAAAGATTGTAATTCAAAATAAAAAATGAGGAACATTTAAAGAGTAAAAACAATAGTATGAAAACAGTTTTGACCGGTATAAACTTAAGGATCATACCATCAAGAAACAACACAGTAATTGAAACTTACATCATCATGTATTCATATGGTTAGGTAAACTTTCGACACAAAAAGTGAAAGGAAAATATATAACAGCAAAGGTGGGTCTTAGGGAGACCAGGCATGCTTGCTTGCATTTGCTGATGTTATGATTATTTTTCTTTTTCGAAAGATATCCAAAGCAAAGAAATTGAAGGTTAAAATGCTAAAATGGTTCCTATACTTTCTCAAATCTCATATATAATTTCTTATATTTTATGTCATGCAATTAAGTCCTTAAAATATCATATTTATTTAATTAAACTCTTTATTTTGCATGAAAATCACATCAACATCTACATAGTCATTATATTTTTTAAATCAGTGTTCACATGAAAATTTATGAAAATTCATTCTAAATTAGCATGTCGCATTGATTTACATGGAATGACGCATCAACGTCTAAAAAATCCTTTTTTCCCAACTGCATGCCATGGAGATGTTTACATGGTAGAGATAACAACCATGTATAGGCTGACCTGATTAAGATAACGAATTTTAATGGTTTTCATGCAAAATAAGAGCTTAACTAAAAAATAATAATACTCAAGGGTTGAATTGAATACACTAGGAACATGAAAACCTATTTGAGGGATTTACAGAACTGACCCTGTTTTAGTATTTATTAGCCAAAACGAGAAAAGGCACTAAGAAATCATATGCATGGCCTTTAAAAGTTAAAGTCCGCACGTCACGGGACCAAATTTAATTTGACTTTTTATCTTCCAATCAACTTTTATGGGCTTATCCACCAAACCCCCCCTTTCTCAAATTATGGTCAGCACAACGTAGAAAGATGCAAGGAAAAAGAGGAGGGGACTCTTGAGCACTGACAAGAAAATGGCTTGAAGACCCAAACTGCTTTACCTCTAGCCTCTAGGATGAAGGAGGAAAGAAGAAAATGGCAATGAATGAAAAAGAAGACACTTTTACTTTCCATGTACATGTGGTCCATGTTACCGCAATTCATGGCTTAATGAAACCTATGTGTTGTTGACAACTTTAAAATAAGAGCATTTGAACTGCTTCTGCGCTCCCCCATTCCCATTCCCCTTTGGCTTCTTCTATGGCTGCTAATGCAAGGCCTAAAACCCACTTGGCCCTCTTCTTCATCAGCATTTTTATTTGTTTCTTTCATGGCAAGTCATCGTCGTGGCTCAACGGTGAAGAGACTGAAGACGTTGTTATGGTGCAAACCAGGCGTCAGGAATCGCCTGGGAGATGTGATTTCTCTGTTGGGAAATGGGTTTATGATCAATCATATCCCTTGTATGATTCAAACTGCCCCTATCTTAGTACTGCAGTAACTTGTCAAAGAAATGGAAGGCCCGATTCTGGCTACGAGAAGTGGAAATGGAAGCCAAATGGTTGTTCTCTTCCAAGGTAACTACTTGGATATAATACTATATATCAACTTCGTTTTTATCTCTGTACTTACTTACTCGAGTACTTATAGAGAGTACTTATAGAGTTTAGACCTCCAGTACGTACAGTTTACAAGCTTAATATGCATCATCTCTTGTACTTAAAAAGAATTAGTTTCTAATTTAACCTGCCAGATGGAAAAGGAATTTAGATTAGACATAACAGAGGTGCAGGTTCTGGTTTTGATTCTCTTTCCAAGCAGCTTAGAATATAGATCAGATCAATGTGATTAGAATAAAAGTTGGATGGTGACAGCATGTGTGATAATTAATGGAATCGTTTATTACCCGTTGGTTCAAACTTAAAACTTAAGACTATACAAGGTACTCTGCCATTTATGCCAGGCATTAATGCTTCAGTAATTTTTCTTCACCTGCTTTTCTGAATCAGGTTTGATGCACTGAAATTTCTTGGAAAGATGAGAAGGAAAAGAATAATGCTCGTAGGTGATTCCATTATGAGGAATCAATGGGAGAGTCTAGTCTGCCTAGTGCAGGGAGTCATACCCACGGGCCATAAAAAGGTGACCTACAGTGGTCTTTCCATGGCCTTCCTTGCCTTGGTAAGCTATTCTCTTTGTGCGTATGTGCAAACATATCTAAGTGAATGAATATATTAGCTTGCTTCAGTTTTAAATATGAAGACGGAGGTATAAGAGAATCTCAAACTTGAACTTCATTTTTTTCCGTTAGTCCTGCTGGTCAAGCAAATGGTGCATTGAATTTCCTTTGTCCCCTTTTTCTGGAAGATTAGTAACATAGCATGTTGCTTCTAGGATTTTGAGACATCAATTGAGTTTTCTTGGGCTCCACTGCTTGTGGAACTGAAGAAAGGACCTCAAAACAAGAGAGTCTTGCACTTGGATTTGATTGAGGAGAATGCAAGATATTGGAGAGGAGTCGATGTTCTTGTGTTTGACTCTGCACACTGGTGGACTCATTCTGACCAATGGAGTTCGTAAGATACATTTGACAACTATACTCTTCTCATATTTCTATATAATTTGCATCTGTGCAAGTGTAGCTATGCATCTATATTTTCTAGGGGTGAAGTTATAAGGAAAATAAAATTTGTTTCCAATGAAATGTTTTAATATAGATTGTTATGGATTTAGTATAAACAAATTGACCCAAATTATTAATTTTGACCACATTCCATGTGTTTCTTCATTTTCGAATTTTCTCAAAGATTGTATGCATGTAGCGAGTGTTCTGAGCAGTAAGTGACTGCAAAATTATCTTCCAACAACCCAAATGCAGGTGGGATTATTACATGGAGGGAAAATCACTGTATAAGAGCATGAACCCAATGATTGCATACCAGAAAGGACTCAATACATGGGCAAAGTGGGTAGATTTGAATCTTGACCCTCGGAAGACCAGAGTTATCTTCAGAAGCATGTCTCCTAGGCATAACAGGTATCAACAAATCCTAAGTTCATGTCACTTTCAGCTCCTTTATTTCTTAATGCTATCTTAACATATAGCTGATTTTCATTGCAGAGAAAATGGTTGGAAATGCTATAACCAGAAAAGTCCCCTTGCATTTTTCAGTCACCCACATGTTCCTGAGCAGCTGCTAGTGCTGCAAGGGGTATTAAGAAGAATGAGATTTCCAGTATATCTACATGACATTACAACAATGTCAGCTTTCCGGAGAGATGGACATCCTTCTGTCTACAGAAGGGCTTTGAACCAAGCAGATAGGCAGCACCCAAGAGAATTTTCCTCTGACTGTAGCCACTGGTGCCTCCCTGGAGTGCCTGATATTTGGAATGAGATGTTGAGTGCACTGCTCTAAGAAAATCATACAGCGTTCTACCAAAATGTAGGCTTTGTACCCTCATCAGGATAGAGTAGTAATCGTCTGTGTGCTGGTTGTTGTATGAAAATGTTAAAGAGAGAATGATGGTATGTTTGGCATGTTCAATTTTCAACATCCCTCTACTTCTTGTGTGTTAAGTGTCCAAGTTGCTTCAGGTAGGATTAGATAATGCTCTGTGCAGATTTTGGTCTTTTTTTCCCTGCTAAGTTATGTGTTTCTAGTAGAACATGGCAATACTGAACACCATATATTTGCGCTGCAAGCAGTTGCCAAGGAAGGTCGAATCTCATGCCCTGGTGCACTAGGCTTATTTGTCTGAACATAACATCCATGTTGCATAAATGGTCAAAATTTGACTGTTCATAATCCTTCTGCACGCTAAGCTGCTGGGTGAGAGGGACAACATCTATTACAGGGAATCAGTGGTACCTAAAAGAAAAAGGAGAAAAGTAGCATTCCATTTCCTTGTTTGGTACCATATGTTTCTCCAATCAGAACATGACAATTAAAAGTGGTGGCCATGATGATTGATGATGAACTTGAACATCCACATTTGCCAAAATTCCTTTAAACAGTAGCCAGAAGACTTGATTTACAATATTTGCATAAAATAACGATTTTTAACTAATTATTATTATGATAGCGCTAGGAAGTTCCCTGCTTCTGCTGCTGAACTAACTAATCTGCTTTTCTCCTCTGCAAGCTATCAGGACTCTGTTAATATTCTTGCCCGTCTGATTTGGAGTTCAGTTACTGAAAAACCATACTGGTTTTAATCCGAAAAGAATCAGAAGGAAAGGGAGGAGATTTTTTGATCCAATGGGTTAGGATGTATCTTTGGGTTAGATAACTTTCCATCCTTTTACTTCTCCTTTCTTAAAAATATCATTATAAGAATATTAATACAGGGAAGACCTTTGCTTAATCCCTTTAAGAGGTTCTACACTTGAAAAAGAAAAGGGGAAATGAAATTGATTCTAGCAGCAACATAAAAAAAAAAAAAAGTGATCGTACTTCAAACCAAAAGACACATCAACCAAATTTGATGTGTTTGGAAAAACCATGTGTTCATAATACTCAATTTGAATGGGAGCCAAACTAATACTCAGGGTTTGGAGGATGGAGCTAGTTAGCTTTATTAGCTTGAAAATTATTAGAATTTTGAAATGAAAAAAATTATCAAAATTTCTTGTTTAAGTAATCCTTAAATGGTTCGAGTGAACCTTGAGTGCTTTTGATGTGTCTTAATGTTTTCTTGCTTAAATAATATTTGAACTTGTTGTTTGAAGTTGTTTGTGAAAGGAAAAATCTTTTGAATACTTTGAATCTCAAATTCATGGTAAAAGAATCAATTATTAAACAAGGAAACATTGATTTTTGAAGAAACAAAGCCACTAGAAGAACAAGAATTGACTTCTCAATATCAAGCGATCAATTCCTTTGAAGTTGCAAGACAAAAAATTGGTAACTTTTTTTAAAAAAAAAACAAAAAATTGGTAACTTGGAGAAGAAGAAAAGATTGGAAAATGAATGAAGTTGGAGCGAGCAAAAACGAATTTGAAATTTGGAATTTGGCATCCAAAATGTAAGAAAAATCGACTTCTAGAGGAGTGAAAGATCAATTCTCAAAACTATGGGAAAAAGAAGAACCAACGTCTCAAGAATGCAAAGATTGATTTCTAGAAAACAAAATGCTCTAGATGCAAGAAGAATCGACTTCTCAAGAATGCATTGATCAATTCTTACAAAATAAAATGCTCTAGAGACAAAAAAAAATTGATTTGTCATGAATGCACTAATCAATTATTATAAGACAAAATACTCCAGACTTAAAAAAAAATCAATTTCTCAAGAAGAACAAGTCGATTCCTAAGCTCTCGAAAGTAGTTGTTAGACATGAAAAAGACAAGAAAAATGACTAGTTCTCCCACCAAGTTATCCCCAACAGCTATAAACTTTTTTTAAGTATAAAAAGAACTTCTCCAGCATATTTTGGGTGAGGGAAGAGAAGAGAAAAAAATCATTTGATCAAGAATCAAAAGCAATGAAGAAAAAAAGGAAAAAGAAAGAAAAACCAAGCTAAAGCAAACCAATCATATTCTTCCACCTAGCTTTTATGTTATCATTGAGCTTCAAATTTTTTGTGTTTTCACTCAAATTATTTGTAATCATTTTTAGCTCGTTCAAACTATTCCTTCTTATACTTACTTAGCAAAATCAATCTTCTAGAGGTACATTTACTTGAACCTTGTGTGAAAGAGAAAGGTTATGCCTAAACCTTTAAAAGTCATTATTGTATAGGTTATGCTTGAGCCTTGAAAAGTATAGAGGTTATGCCTTAGCATTTAAAAGGTAGTGTATAAAAGTTATGCTTGATCCTTGAAAAGGTAAAGGTTATACTTGATCTATAAAAAGTAGTCGTTTGTGATGATTATGCTTGATCCTTTAAACGGAAGTTGTTATAGTAGATTTCAAACTACTTGGCGAGCCAAGGGAGAGGATGTACGTGCCTATGGAGAGGGCTAAACTTCTATAAATTCTTTGTGTCTTTTCTTACTTTTTCTTACTTTTGAACTTGTGCATTTTGTTTCAAAGAAGTTTTTGAAATTTGTTTACTTTCCACTTTTGCATACTTGTGCTTTTTACTTTGCTTTGAAGAGTTTTTAAAATTTATTTTTAAACCTGTTTATTATTTAATTCACTCCTCAAATCACTTTTGATACACCTTGGTATACTTGTGCATCTCACTTTGAAGAGTTCTGAAAATGATAGAAACATTAGATCAATGGATAAATGGCAAGAATGTCCAAAAAAGGGTGAATTGGAATTTAAAAATTTCTTTTGAAAATCAAGTATAAAATTCAAGACTTTTTGCAACCAAAATTTTTTCTTTTGTCAAGAAAAAAAAAACAAATGATTTTGCTAAGACAAATATAAATAATAAATCACAATGCAAAAAATTGAGAAACTAGAAGCAGCTAAAGTAGTCGACTATGCTTGTGAAGAACCTGTTTTAAAACAATTTGAACATCTTTAGTCAACTCTACAAATCTTGTAGTCAATCCTTGATCAGCAAATCGTTTTCAAATCTTGTAGAGGAAGTTTTAAGGAACGTTTTGATGCATATGTAATTCTTTATCAAAACTACTAAATTAAATGCAAGCAAATGGTCAATCTTGAGATGTTTACAACATTTTTTAAGTGAAATCAAACAAGAAATAATCAATTGATGATAGTTGAAAACTAACCCAATATATGATGAGTAGAAACAAAGCATAAGAAATTTATGAAATGGGTTTTCTTGAAATGTAATGGCAACAGGTCAAAGTAAAAATAAAACTAAAGAAACAGGAATTTTATAGTGGTTTGGCTTTCTCAAATGCCTACATCCACTCCTTTTGGTCATCAAGAAATTTCAAATCCACTAAGAGAAATGAGCTTTTTACAAGAATAAGTGAAACCCTTACAACAGCTTTTTACGACATCATGTGAAACTCTCACAATACTTTTTACGGGATCAAGTGAAACCCTCACAATGGCTTTTTAGAAAAACAACCATAACCCTCACAAAGCTTCTTACTGGGATCAAGTGAACCCATGGTTTTTAACAAGTTCAACCATAAACCCATGGTTTTTAACGGGCTCAACCATAAACTCACACTAACTTTTCAAGGATGAGTTATAACCTTTACAAGGAATAGCAAGTGTGTCTCTAAGAGGTGGATTTTGCTAGTTTGGTACAATGGAAGAATAATGCCTAACATTGGATATGAAAATAGAATATAAAGATGGGAGCGAAAGCATAAAGAAATTTTAGCTCAACAAGGCTTGATTTCTCTTATTTTCTTTCAAGATTTTGATCCTCAAGATTTTGACCTTTTTCTTTTCTTGTTCTTCACTTTGAAGTACTTTCAAATGGTCTTTTTTAAAGTTGAAGAAGTCTTCGAGCCGTTGAGGTGATTAAAGAAAGAAACTAGTCATTTTCCTTTTGAATTTTGTGTCTAATGGTCATCTATAGTTGAGTATAGAAGTTTTCTAGTCAATCTTTCTCCAAAAAGCTTGTAGTTTTCTAATTAGAGCTTGGAGGGTTGACTAGCACTATTCCAAGGTCGACTATAACTTCATTAGGGTCAATTATGGTACTATTCTATGGTTGACTATAGGCTTTATAGGGTTGACTATGATTGTGTCTGTTTCAAGTTTTTTTGCTTGTTCTCGCCCATTCTTGTATAGGATAGACATGCCTTGCTCTAGGATCGATTGGAGCTTTGTGTTTTCAAGATTCGTTGACATTTTAGCATGTAACTTTGGCCATATCTTCCTTATGATCAAATGTTAAGTGATGACTAAGTGTCATGACTTGAAACAAGCTTGGTGCAGTGTAGATTGATGATCTTTAAAGGGTTTGAAATAAAGTTCACCATTTAAGAACCTATTTACATCTTCAATATCTCAAAGGAATATGCTAAAAGGATCATAAATAGAACTCTTTTAAGCAAATCTAACACTCATACAATTAAGTTATTCAAGCTTGTAAACATTTGTAGAACAATTAAGTGTATGATAATTCAATAGCTTCAACAATTCACACAACTAAAACAATCAAGCTTGTAATCATGTAAGAACAAATGTATGAGAGCTAAATCATTTCAAGAATTTTCAATGATCATTCAAATAATTTTAGCAAATGTGATCGTTTTGTTATAATCAAAATTATAATTATTTTAAAGCTAACGGAAAATATGTTTTCAACTTGTTCATTTGGTTTCTAAATTATTTTTGACATGTTTTTAAAGTGAAAGCGAATTTGAGAACTTATTTTCAAGCTGGCATTCATTAAAAGATTAATTTATTGAAAAGAATTTTTAAAATCCAATTCATCTCCTCTTAGATATTTCGTCATCACTATCATTAAACAAACATTCCTAATAGAGCTATTCACTTCCAAGTTTTGCTAACATTGTCAATTCCTATTCTCTCTTTTTCTCTCTCAATCGCTTGCCTCTCAATTGTTCCATGAGTTCAAGAGCCTCTTTGTTGCAACATAAGCATATATGGACAGACAACTTTAATCTTATTAAGTCTAGCACAACTTTTGTGATACATGTAAAATTGCCCCAAAGTGATTGATCAAACTTTTTCAATTAAATCCTTCCAAGTTCAAACTTCTTTACGATTAAGTCCAACTTAATTCATCAATTTACATTATTTGTCATTTTTTTGTGTATAGCCCACTACACTCTTCA